TCCACCCCTCCTCCCAACCCACCCACCACGGTGATGGAAAACCGATATGCTGCCCTGGCAACGAGCGATGAGGAGTCACCCCCAGAGGAGGAGGAGAAGGCATGTACCCCCAACGGCTGGGAAGGATCGCAGCCACCACTGCCAGAAAGAAATATAGGGTAGTGGTGATTGGTGACTCTCTTCTGAGGGGTGTCGTGCAAAAAGTCACCCACGCATTGATTTTAGTTCACAGACTCAAGCCTGAGGCCAGTTTATTGCAATACATACCAACGCATTGGGGTAGCAGTCCGAAAACTACCTCCCCAGCAGCAGCGCACAGGCCACCTTTATTTCATCAAACCGCAAGCATAGTTCAAATAATACATCATTTATGCGAAAATAAGAGTAGGGGTCTGTCCCTTTTTCCCGGTAGCTTCCTCATTATTTACAAGAATTGGGTGCCTATTGGGTGGGAGGTTCCTTGGTGGTTTTGACATAGGTGGTACTTGGCACCAGTTGGGGTGTTTTTCATCAGGGTACATATTGTTCTGTGGGGAGAGGCATAGGGGTTTATTACAAGACGCCCAAAGATGATATCTGATTGGCTGGTGGCAGGTAGCTGGAACTTTAGGATGAGAAGGCCTTTACTAGAAGCAGTTTCTTCATATAAGCCGTTACTATGTTTCATCGATAAGCAGTTATCGTGTTTCTTTCGCAAAGAAGCAGTTATCATGTTTTTCCATCAACAAGCGGTTATCATGTTGCTAAGGCCTTTCGCATGGCTTCCTTCCCCTCCCTCCTCTGGTCATGGCCCCTAACCGTATTTGGCAGGGAATTGTACAGCTTAGCTTTGTTCAGGTTCTGGCCTGTACTGCTTTATGTAAAGGCTGTCTGTGCAGTCAGCGTCTGTCAGAGGGCCTGAGTGTGGGCCTTCGGTGTTACTTTGGTTGTTATAAAGAAGGCCACCTAGTTCTTTTCCCCCACACCACCGATGGGTGAGTGACCCACTCAATTTTTTTACCCGCTGTGTTTCATTTCACAATCTGATGCCATTCAAAAATCTCTACTTCCTTCTGTGCATCATTGTGACGTTATTGATATAATCTGGGACCATATAGATCATTGTTGCAACCAAGGTCCTGTAGATCTTGTATAAAGGGGGTCAAATGGGGTGTCTAAGACAAGGTTATGGTTTACTGGTTATGATTATGCTGTCTATATGTGTGTATCAGTTTTGTAGTTGAAGTTATGAATATTGGCTCTATACTGTCTGTATGGCAAAC